ATGCTATTTTCAAAAAAGATGTTTTACTTGTATTTTGTATGTGTGAAAACCCAAATAAAACTTTATTTAAAAAAAAAAAGAGACCAGATGGCTGGCGAGGAGGTGGGGCAACAGAGGTGATACGGACAGCGGATGGACTCATATACGCGGAAGATTGTGGCATCAGAGCCCTTCCCGGGTGTACACTGGCCTGTGAGGGGGTGAGGAAAGGAACCTTGGAAATTGTGTTACCTCCTGCCTCCGTGTATCAAGGAGATCAAGTGGCTGCCAGCGATGCCCTCAGGTGAAGATGTTGTGAGGGAGAGGCTCAATCTCCTCCCCTCTAGAGCTTCTCTTCCTCCTCACCAGAAGGGGGAGCCTCAATCCCCTCCCCTCTGGGGCTTCTCTTCCTCCTCGCCTGAAGGGGGAGGCTCAATCCCCTCCCCTCCGGAGCTTCTCTTCCTCCTTGCCAGAAGGGGGAGGTTTATCCGCCTCCCCTCAGGAGCTTCTCTTCCTCCTGCCCAGAAGCACTCACACGCAAAGCGCTCACCGCCCCTCTGGCACCCAACAAGCCTCCTCCTTCCTGCTGGGCATGTGAGCGCTTCTGGCGAGGAGGAAGAGGGGGTTGAGCCTCCCCCTCACAACATCTTCACCTGAGGGCATTGCTGGCAGCCACTTCCTGTGGATCAGGAGGTCCGCGCTCTTCCCACTGCTGCTCAGCCTCCTCGATGGGCTGAGGCAGGAGGCAGCAGCCATGACACGGGTTTGCTTGGGAGACTGCAGGATTGCCCCACCTCCCCACCAGCCACCTGCTCTTCAGCACGCTGCGGCCCACCAAAAAATTTTCATGGACCACCAGTGGGCCGTGGCCCACTGGTTGGTGACCACTGTCTTAAGCTGTTAGTCAAAAGATGAGGATGCAAATAAATTCATAATAAATAATTAAATAAATAAATAAATGGAAACAACTATAATACATTGTTTAATATAAAGGTACTCTAAGGTTCAGGGGTATTTGATACTACCTCTGAGCTTGGTTGTTTTCTTGCAGCTATTTCATTGCTCAAACTGTTACCTAATTTGGGTAATGAAATGTCTGCAAAAAAACAACCAAGCTCAGAGAGCACCAAGAATCCTTCATTTCAACCCTGAGTTACAAATATTCTTCTCTATCAATATGGTAAAATTGTATCTTTACTGCAAAATCGGTTACCCTTCAAGATGAAGACATCCCAGTTTGTAGCTTGGTCTTAGCCATTACTTTGGCTTTCAATGTAACATGATAATTAGGGCATCATTTTAGAAATATTTTTAAATCATGATTTAGGAAATGATTTTCTTCCTGTCACCCACTCAAAGGCACATAGCATCTGGGGAAAGACTGAACCTTGGAAGTTTGGAATAACAAAGCTTATGTTCTGTTACTGAGCTATAGTCTCTCCTCAATTATTATTGTACTTGCTTCTCTAAAAACAAATAAGATCTGAATTACTTGGAACAAAAATACATGATCAAGATTAAAGAAACTTCTAACCAAATTTTGCAAAAGAGTAACAAACATCAATCTGCAACTATTTTTTCCTGATGATTCAGGAATGTTCTAACAGGAAAAACCAGATAAGACAGAAATTTATAAGCTTTAGGTAGCTTTCTTTCTTCATAGCGCTTATAGTACCTTGAAATGTTATGAAACAATGCTAAATATTACCTTATGTGTTTGGTAGACGATGATTGCATTATCAGCTAGAGTTTCTACAACACGGAAATTTTCAATGGTTGCTAAAGACAAGTTCAAAAAAAGAAAAAAAAGAAAAGAAATAATTAAAATATAGCAATGATGATTTCACATATCAGTTAGATCAGAATTAGCCAGATCTCTGTCCTCTGAATGAGTTAAAACTGCAAGTCCTAGAATTTCCAGACATATTAGCTGAAAATAGGGAATTGGACTAAGTGGATGTCAATTGAACAGTAGCTAATACAAATAAATAAACTACGTTTACTTACTTTCCCAATCATTGCGAACATCAACATTCCAGAAATAGTGGCAGACCTCATGTCCTGTAACGCCTTTGACTGCATGTGTGGCCTTCAATGGATCTAGAACAATGCCATTTTCTTCTACCTCCCTCCTGTACACCTTTGAATAAATATAAAATATTTTAAATCTTTTTTATATTCTTAATTCACTTTTGAAATTGGTGGGGACAATCCTGGATTAGTAAAATTAGAAATTAGTAAAAATACCATTCATTTAAATATAGAACATAAAACTGACTTGTTGGACCATACCAAGTCCCATCTTATTCTGTTTTTTTTCTCTCTCTCACACGGATGCTTCTAGGATATTCACAGGTTAGGGATGGATGTATAACATGTCTCTCTATTGTACCTCCGTTACTGGCATCTATAGACATGCTCTCCCCCATACTGAAGGTAACTGAATTTTTAAAGCCAGTGGGCCTTGATAGACCTTTCTTCAATGAATATATTTAGCTCTCTTTAATCCTATCCAAGTTAGCGGCTATCACATCTACTGATAATTAATTTCACAGGTTAATTATGCTCTGTACAAAGAAATGCTTCATTTTGTTCATTTGAAATATTGTTCCAATCAACTTTATAAGTTCTAATATTTTGACAGGAAAAAAAAACTTCTTCATTCTTTCCATTCTATGTAAGATTTCATTCAGTTTAATAATGTCTCCCTATCCTTTTTTTAAGTTACAAAGTTCCAAACATTCCAGCTTTTTCCAGTACACAAGGAGTTCAAGGTCTCTGAGAATTTTTGGAATATTTTTGTACTTTTCTAGCACAGTCATATTGTTTTTCAAGTGTATAGACTAGAATTGTAAACATTATTCTAGACAGAGAAACAAAGTAATATATGTTCTAAATAGCTAAAACAAATAGCAGCTTAAAGCTTGAACCAGATCTGGAGATCCAATTTCAACCTTTTTACTGAATTAACAACCTCAGGGAAATTAGCAACTCTTTGTCTAAATTATTATTCATTTTAACATATTTATAAAATATGAAATATTCTACTTACCTTCATTTCACCTTCTTCAACCACTAGTTGCCAGTTTGCATCACCCCCTACATCCTGTAACGAATATGTCATGTGGTTCTGCATCATCTCTTCCACCTTTCAAAACAAAACAGGAATAAATTGAAAATACATTTATGGAAGTATTTTTAGCTCTTCTGTAGCCTGGAGATACTCACATGATTGCCATTAACGTGCCATTACACAAATCATTGTATAAATAAATAAATAAGTAAGTAAGTAAAACGACTGTGCAAAAATATATTATCAACAAAGAAACAGACTTGAGCAAAGAACTTCCATAATCAGACAAGCAAGCAAGCAAGCAAGCAAGCAAGCAAGCACAAATACATGGGATTCAACCAGAAAGTCTCTTAATCACAATACATTTGGGGGGGGGGGTCCCTTTAGGAAACAATTTATATTAATATGATTTCAGGATATATTTAAACAGACTTAAATTGATATGTTAAATTTAAGTAAATGTAAAAGTAAACATTCAAACCAGGTCTAAATTGGGAGCATGTTCCCATTAGCGTTAAGAACATTTGCCAGAATATTTCAATTTACCAGCAATCCATGTACTCATCAATATACCCATCTCAATCTGCTTATCTCTGCTCTACTGTAACTTACATGACATTAGAGAATGCCACTGAATGACTTTCCTTCCTATCATCAAATATCCTTACAAAGATATGACCTATTTGCAGAGGTGGTATTCAGCAGGTTCTGACCAGTTCTGGAGAACCGGTAGCAGAAATTTTGAGTAGTTCGGAGAACCGGCAAATCCCACCTCTGACTGGAGATTTTACAGTATCCTTCTCCTGCCACTCCCACCAAGCCACACCCACAGAACCGGTAGTAAAAAAAATTGAATCCCACCACTGCCTATTTGTTTATAAAATCACACAGAAATCAACCTGAGACCTCAAAATTGCTCTATTCTTAAAATTACTTTTATTCTTAAAATTACTTTTAAGAATAGAAATTAAGAAAGTAGACTGGAGAACTACTAAGAACATCTACTTTATAGAAACTCTACTGCTTAAAACCTTAATCGGTTGACTGATTCACATTTTTAAATAGGAACCTTCATTTGATATAGAGGCATTACTCTGAACAACAATGTGCAAATGTAAGAGAACACAACTAATCATTCTCAAAGCCAAATAATCTTCAATCAAGTCTCTTTCCTATTGCTAAATATCTTAAGTTTTCTGTGTATAAGTGTTTTAAATGCTGTACCAAGTAAATAGAAATGTTTCCAGCCTCATAAATTATATAAGTTGTTCCAATTTTACAGTCTTTTCCTGTATATTTGATAAATTTTATTAACTGAATAATTTATTTTATTCTACCAGCTAAAGGAAAAAGTCAGTTTGCTATGTAATATGCTGAAGCCATGTTTTCTATTACCACATTGGTTTGTAAGGCAATATTTTTCAACATCATAACTCTAAAGGTTAACAGATATTTCAGGGAAAAGGCTTGATTCTTAGGAATTGTATACATTTTTTTCCTATATACACCCTAGAATCACATTACTTGCAGTATGATTTTATTCATGCATATTTTATAATTGAATGAAACAAGACATAATGGAAATCTACCTACATATTTATTGTTTCTTAAAGTTAACTCCATTTGAAACATTACGGAGAGGTCACATATAATCAATAACTTTTGAACTTCTGGCATAAAAATGGAGGAATTGTGTTTGACAAACAGCACACACATTTTAGAGCCTCACAGACAAATTGCTCAATTTAAGAATATTCTCTCAATTAGCAATTATTAGTTTGAATAGTAAATATTTGGCCTGATCTGAAGTTGTTGCAAACATAGTCTTGTATCTAACATCATGTCTGCTTCCAATCACTGTTAGTTATTCACAAATCCATTATTAGGCTTCCATCTTAATACAAATTCTATCATATTAATTTCAATTATCAAATGAGAACTAAACAACCATGCCAAGTTTTGTAAAATAAACTTGTTCTGAAAGCAAAGACAATAGTTGATATTGTATTTTTTTGCTTTCTGTTATGGTACATTCCTGAAATTTTAAAGATCATTTATACTCATAAAGAAAAATGTGAACTTTTGAACTTTAGATACAATAAAAATCAATGAAAAAATGTCTGCATTTTAAGAAAAACCTTCATTCAAATATTTTTTATCATAGCATTGAATAAGATGGGTAGAAATGTTCTTTCTTCCTGCCACATATTTTACATGATACTGTTAAATTAGTCTATGCTAGTAATTAAATGTCATTTTGAATTCTATGTTGTAAAAATAATCTTCAATTACTAGATAATTATTCAAAAGCAAAAAGCAGATATCCCTTGGTAATATGTAGACTGAAAAAAATATCTCCAAATTTTTTCTCTGAATTATAATATCTTGCAGAAGTCAAGCTGTAATATCAAAGAGCTAAATATAGAAACATCAATAACCACAGAGCTTTAGACCTCTAGTCTGTGTTATTGGGAATTACAAAAACATTCTTCCTTGTCTCAGTTCTTAGAATCTTACATGGACTTTCTTTAAAATAGTTTTTAGTATTTGAGGGATATTCTCTCCAAAGACCACAGAATCAAATTGTTAAGTAAATGTTTAGAAAAAGCATCAAGTTATATATACTGGTAGGTTATTTAAGGACAGATTTATTTATATTGGAAGCTGAATACAGAGCCTGCATAGTATCTAAGTTCTTTTAAAAAAATTACAAATTTGAGAAGTCTTCTCCAACATGGAGGTCATTAAAAATAGAAGTGTTGGGCACATGCCAAACATTGAACAAGAGTGAACAAAGATGAGTGTTACTCTGTACCAATGTAACTTGCTCATGTCATGATCCAAACGTCAAATGAAAATTCACATAGTAGATCTCCAACTCAAAGTACTTAAATGTTGGATCATCAGAATATTGAATTACTATGAATAATTTTTGTCTTGACAAGATTAACTATGTCATTGAAGAATTAAAATTTCTGAATATTGTACAATGTTTGAGAAATTGCAAGAATATAAGGGATATTACTTAAAACACAAGTATTGTTTTTTACAGAATGGAATAAAACATTTGGAACGTCTTGGACTGATATGCAACAAAACTGTTTCACAATCGTATTTAACTCTTCCTATTCACTAGAATATACAGTTCCTTCCTACAGTTTATGTGCACTTTGTTTAAAACAAGCGTAAACAGTTAACATAACAAGAAGAAAAGAAGTGACCATGAAGGTGAAATACAGCAAGACGACATGGTAAAGCCACTCTGCATGTAGAAATACAGTACCTGGGAGCTGAATCTGTGACCATCAGAGGTACTGACTAGATCAATGGAAGACATGGAGGAAGAGCGACTATAGGGCTAACAGAGACAGACAAAGAAAAAACCAAGTAATCAGAACAAAGGCACAACAGAGCATTTTGTACCAACTTCCACGCACAAGATTATGAAGAAGAAACAAAAGCACCATAAGCAGCAAGTACAGCAGCAAATGCTGACTTCATGCACCTATTATGTATTATATTCCAAACACTGCTCAGTAAAGAATTCTTTCTCAGAATACTAAATATTGTTGCCTAGGTTTGGTACACAAGATGTGTTCACTAATTCATAATAAACCATTCTCTAACAGTGAAAAATGAAAGCTTGCAGAAATCTAGTAAAATAAAAGTCCTCCTTATTACAGTTTAGTTAAACTTAATTTTGAAGCATGCACGCTTAGCAGAAAAACGTTTCTTAAGTTCATCAATGTAGCAAAAGTAATTGTTCTTCCAGCAGATAGTAAAGCAGTTTGAATGGCTCTATTGATACATAATAGGATGTTTACATATTACATAACCATAATCTATTATGTTAATTGGAACACAGAATTGATTCAACTTTCAGGTCACATTTTGGAAGCTTCTTACCTTTTGGACAAATCTATGATTCCCCACACCAGAAAATACATCGCCAGGTGGCAGGGAAGTTGGCCAGTGTAATCTGACTTTTTCACTTTGGGACTATAAGAACAAATATATATAAATATATATAAATATATTTATTATTCTACAATTTTGGATGTATCATGAAAACATTAAATAATTTGAAAAATATTTCTCAGTGATAGGCACATTATGGCTCTCCATCTTCCAAGCTAAGAACACAAAGCCTTGAACATAATTCCTGCATAACAGAGCAAACAGCAATTGTCTCTTACTTTAATGTAAATAATTAAAAAAAAATATTAAAATCAAATGCTTATAAAAATAATAAAGGCAGGACTAAAAATCAATCAAACAAACAAATAGGCTCCTTTTCATTCTGAAGCCCATGAACTGTATACTATAGATCAGGAGTCTTCAAACTTGACAGCTTTAAGAATTGTGGACTTCAACTCCCAGAATTCCTCCTGTCATGTTAAGCTCAGGAATTCTGGAAGCTGAAGTCCACAAGTCTTAAACTTGCCAAGTTTGAAGACTCTTGTTGTAGATATTTACTATAGTATGTGTATTCTAAAATACACGTACTATATAGTAAATGATACAACATTGTGACACAGCTCTGCCTAGAACTTCATATACTAATATTACCTGTTCTTCTATTTTGTCTTGACGATCTAGAGCAGCTTCAACAGCATCAAAGAATTCTTCTTCATTAATCAAACTGTTGGGACCTTCCTATAGCAAAAATCATTAGAAAGTAAACTTAATAAGGTAAAAGTAAAGGTTTCCCTCGCACATACGTGCTAGTTGTTTCCGGCTCCAAGGCAACTCAAAAGTATACTGCAAATGAATAAAAATACTGCAGCAGATTTCTTTGGATCTGCTTATATTGTTATTTTAGATACTTTATCAATTTGAAAAGAATATGTGGTTTTATTATTTTGTAATAATATTAAAAATGTCTGAATCAACATATAACTAGGAAACCATATTGTTTAAAAGAGGGGGGGAACCCAAATCAAATAATTATAAATAAAAACAGGTTCACTCTCTGAGTAGAAGACAAATAAGAGGCCACCATAAGGATGCCACTAAAGAGCACTGCATGCCAAAACAACTAGGTACAAAGATAGTCCCGTTCCGCCAGCCCCCCCGTGCTGAACACTTAATTCCCACGGCACTGTCTCTCATTTGTCATCTTTTCTCATCTTTTTATTTTTCCTACTACCTTCTATTAGTTTATGACTTATCAATTGTTTTTAATTTATGATTAATGATTGTAACTATAATTATGAACTGTGAGAGGCACTGGAGACAAATTCCTTGTGGGTCCAATCACACTATTCTGTTCTGTTCTGTGCTATGTTGTTCTATTCCAATGCTTAAAAAAAAAACACGTCACAAGGAAGGTAATCCAATCATTAATGAATAAAGTACAAAGACAGATTTATCTTCTCTATACTTTTTGTTCATTTAAATGTCACCTTTATTTATTTGTTAAATTTATTTGTCCCCTATCTCATTGTGAGGCTACTCTAGGCAGTTTACCTAATAGTAAAAACAGAGAAATTAAAAGAACTGTAAGCATAACAGTAGAAAAAGAATGAAGCAATAAATTAAACAAATAAATAATGAAAATATGAGATTAAAAAATCAGTGGAGAGAAGCAAGGAATGCAGGGTGGGAGGTGGGGTTTCCTATCAATCTAGTAGCCTCCTCCAGTATGGTACTCCCTCATTGGGTCCTCGGCCAATTTGTACAGCTAGAACTATAGGCTCTTGTGGAAGGATAGGAGGGCAGGGGCAGATTTCACCCCGGAGTGGGGGGGGGGGGGGGGGGAGTTTTCCCCGGGGGGGGGGGGGGGGGGGGAGAGAATGTTCCACTGTGGCAGAGAAGGCTCTTCTTCTGGATCTTAACAGCCAATTTTTTTTTTACTGATGGAATCTGTAGTAGGCCCTCTCTGCCAGCATGAGTGGGATGAGTCTGATCTAGAAGGACAAGAGTATTTTAGGAGTTACAGAGCTGAATCTAACTGAATTCATCTTTTACAATGCTCTTTTACATAATTTCATATTTTATTTTATTCAAGTTGCTCATAGTGATTACAAAACTGAAAGGTAGAATATATTGCTTTTCTAAGCCTTCTTATAAATAGGGTTGATAATTTGGAAGATAACAGATAACCAGAGTTGGAAAGGACCTTGTAGGTCATCTAGTCCAGCCCCCGCCCAAGTGGGGGACCCTACACCATTTCTGACAAATGGTAGAAGAGTTGCATATGTTTTAGATATACAATATTTAATACAGAGAACACAACAAGAGCAGTTGGGGCTCTTATTGCTTTTTCATTGTGTACCCAACTCTTGTTTCTGGATATTCTTAACCCAAGATAAACAATGAACAAACCAAAACAAGAATGAAACTTTGTTCCTCAATATTTAAGTACCTATTTGAATCTACCTTTAATGGATGTATATAAATCCAGACTTGGTTTTAAAATAGAAAGCTTGCAGATAAACACATACCTCATAATCTGGTCCCCCAAAATGAGATTTTTTTTTTAGTTCAGTCATTGCATTTTTGTATGCTTCTTCTATTCGCCTCCTTTTTTCAACCTCCTACAAGAATATTAAAAAGAGACAGTATGTTTTAAACAAAGTCTTAAACAATTCAAAACTTAGACAGACTTTTACAATTTACTGCATCACAATATAAAGTGTAATAGTAAGGTACACTCTCTAATTACAGTAAATGATCAGCATAAGGAAATTAAGAAGGAACTTTTGCTTTGGGAACAATTAGTTTCAGTCTTTAGCTACGTAAGGCCCTTAACTAAATAAAAGTAATATAGCAATGAAAAACAAAGGCGAAAACCCAAAGAAATGTTATATGTTCTACTGCCTGTTAGAAAGTATTCAGTGATTGCTCTTGCCCTCAACAGAAACCATCAACTGGAGAGGGTCCAAACTATCATTTATTAGTTCTAAAGTTAACAAATTACAATGGGTCACTGTACTTAGAAATGTAAAGAGCAAGACCACAAGTTCACATAGCTCTTACATAAAATGTTGATTAAAGACAGTTTGAATATCTGTATACATTAGCAGATCTCCCAAAGGGAAAATTCCCAGTATAACTGAAAAGGAAACAAAGTAATGAGGAGTCCTTGGTGGTCTCTGAGCTTGATTGTTTTCTTAGATGTGTTTCATTATCCAAAGTTTGGGTAATGAAACATCTGCAACAAAACAACCAAGCTCAGAGACCACCAGGGACCCCTCTTTTCAACCCTGAGCTACAAATATTCTCCTTTATCAGAATCAAGGGAGGCACAGAAGAGAGACATGGGCATCTTTTAAGGTGTGAAATAATTACACCATTACAGATTCCCAGGAAGGAAACATAGTAGTTTTGATATATTAGTTGAGCTAAGGATTTGTTAAAAGGCTGAGCCTGAGTTTACAATGAGAGAAGAATAGGCATGGAGGCATATATCTTTAAATGCTGCCACTTTTAAAGTGTGACCTTTATAATCAGTTAGTTGAAACCAGTCATAGATTGTCAAAATAATAAAACCACATACCTAAAAGTGCTACATGAGATACTACACAGAACATCCATATGTAAAAAGAAAAAAGCATAAAACTACATCTATATAAGTATGCGTTCCATATGTATGTATGTAAATCTATATAAATGTATGCATTCCAACTTTTAGAATGAAGAAGCTTTTCATTGTCACTGCTTTATGTTTGTATTTCCTTTAGGGTGCAGAAATACAAACACAATGCAGAGTACATTAAACCTTTCTTTAAACTACAGTATTTGTCAAGAGACAGGAACAACTATACAACTATAGTTGTATAGAATGTATAGGCAACTATACAATGAATGTAGTTGAATTGTCTGGTGCAGCAAGCATATCTATACATGTAGACTAAAGTTAACTACTTTATTATATTCTGCCTATTATACAGGAATATCCCCAGATTGCTTGCTTTCTCTTGGTAACAGATAAGGTTCTACTATGGAGTTTAGGGGAGAGTCAGTTCTGTACCTCTTGTGGCTACACAAGGATTCAAAGCCAATTTCCTACTTGAGACCTTCTTCCTACTGGCCTTGGTGTTACCCAACATAAATGCTGTTTTTATTCAATTTAATATTATGGAATTCCTTTAACTCTACTTATTCAATTATTCAAATCCTAAAGTAATACATTCTTAGAAATCTTATAACTAAATGTATGGTATTATGTATAATACAATTAAGTATTTGCAAGCCAGAGGTCATCAAAGTTTTTGGAAACAAGTCAGTGAAAATGTTCAAATGAGATATTAATTCTATTCCAATTATCGAAGGTTTGAGAGGTGATATTCTTCCAATGGTTTAGCACTGACTGTTCAGTAAATGAAGCTTACTTTGTTTAAATAAACAGAATATATATATATATATATATATATATAATATAATATAATATAATATAATATTATAATATATAATAATAATATAATATAATATAATAATAAATATAATATAATATAATATAATATAATATAATATAATATAATATAATATAATATAATATAATATAATATAATATAATATAATATAATATAATATAATATAATATAAT